AYATWAAGGAAMATGATAAAAACCGTTTCGTATACACCATGGTTAATATTTAACCGCGAAGTTCAAAGCCGTCCCCTCCAAGTTCTTTCAGGCAAAAAGAACAAAATAAACTTGTCAAAATGGGTAAAAGACATTGCAAAGTCTGTCTTATGAGAATTAGGAATATATAGCTAAATTATAGTTATGGATAGTATAAGAGTTTCGTCGTAAATTGACAACTATATGGCCAGATTGACGCTAACAGTTGAAAGGTTATTTTCAAGAGTTTGACCCTAAAATTTCTTTTGAACTATTAAGATTATCATAAAACATAATAATGTTATCAAATGTGCATACCTTTGCTAGAATAATATCATCAAATCTACGCAATTTGACCCAAATTGAGCTTCTAATCTTCACACCGTGCGACCCGTGCGTGTTTTTGAAATTCGCTGTTCATGGTCACGTGGTATCACACAGGGATACCAGTGAATTGTTTGACGCTAAAATTTTTATCACATTTTCTTGATACTCCAGAAAAATGCAAAGTCATTCCATGACAACACGTGATMAGTAAAAGAAAAATGATTTGGTCCTGTCTTCGACGTTTGTACGTTGTGAAAATGAATCCATCATAACCCTAAATTGTTTTTATTTTATGCCTGGTCAGCGGTTTCCAGTCCAGTTACACAACATCCAGATACAGCTGTGTTTGGTGTCAAAATATCTCAAAATTATGATGCTTGCTTCACGTGATATTCAATAATGAAAAGTTCTATGGAAGCTATGGATGTTGATCCAATATTTGGTAGTTCTGGTAAGAAATGTAGCCGTAGTTTTATCATGATAAAACGTAGCTTATTTAAGCCGCACTTCCTGTGCAAAATGAAACTTTAGATGTACACTAAAAGCGTGAAAAAGTATTAACCAAATACTGCTAAAAGACAATAGGAAACAACGGAATTCGTATAATATTCAGTACTATTTAGCAAGATTTAATTACAAAGGTTTTTCACGGTCTTTGTATTGCCTTGTATTTGCACTACTGTGAGAACTTGTAATCTTGTTTCAATATTAAGGAAGAGAAGAACTTGTTCTGGAGCAAGCTACAGTTTTCCTCGAAGACGCTGTCAGAGTAAGTATTATAGCTAGTATTTYTTGAAGTACTACTTGACTTTTAATTACTCAAGCCAGGTTTCGAAAACTACAACATAACTTTGATGATGAAACCATGTGATAATTAATTACGTTGCTGCATAATAAATTAATACAAGGGTAACTAAACATTGCACACCTTTAAGGAACAATAGAGTATTTTTGAGTTCATATGTATCATTTACAAGGGAACAAAAGGACTCCATAGTGCAATAGAAAGGTGATGGGAGGAGGGGGGGAGGAGTGGGGGAGGAGGCAGTTTAAGGGGAATGCAGGAGAAAATTATAAAAAAAAAAAGTGTGGAGGCTACAATCGTATAACCATCTCCCAGTCTCTCTGGTGCCTGGTATAAATTGTACTGTAGATGTGTGGCATGATGCCATATCACATGTGATTCCCACTATTCTATATTCCCACTTGTTCAATATTATCCATCTTTATCTATGATTTTAGTATCGTTCAATACATCACAAGATTGATCACCAATCACTACGAATCTATCGTTTATACTACAGCCCACTTATAAGATGGTAAGTCACCTATTATTTCACCTTAATTTAAAAAAATAATGGATTCTTTAACATTTCTTTTGTTTTCTTCAGGGGGCTGACTTTTGTCATAATATTAGACTTGTGTTTGGCTTTTTTTGAGCATCCATCTTCACTAACGTGAGTTGAATCCTACGTCAAGACTAGGTAGTGAATATATGACACTTTACATTGAGTTTGTGCTGTCAACAAGTAATTCTAGTGGTCTGCGTAGCACTGTAATTATGATGTTTAAGGTACTCAGTGACCACAGAAAATTATCAAAACATCAAGCCGTATACAGGGAACTCCTTTACCCCTATAAACACAAATTGTAATTCCTCTGGAGATATCTGAGAAAATGGAAACTGGATGAATACTAGAGCACAGACAGAATAGAGTTAATTCCCAGTCTATAATCTTAAGCACAGGAACCCCAACACATCAAAATTGGGTTGCCTGCAGATAAGGTTGATGTTAAACTATTTGTTTTATTTTTGTTGCAGTCTTTCATCAGACCCTCGTTTTCGTGGACCAAGACCGCATGTTCCCTGTGGTGTATTAGAAGTGTTGGAAATATTATTCTTGTTGTGTTTTGTGTGTGATGTTATTGTTAAGGTACAAGTTAGTATATAAATTACACTACTTTTAAATATTTTCCTGAACACAACACCCTCTTGGGTAGTAGGGACAGGAAAGGAATGGGGAGAGAGAGCATACCCACCCCTTAGATCTCAGGTTATAATAATTGTTGTCTGAACAGTTTGACCATATGTTTATTTTATCATTCATAAATTTATTCATGATTTTGTTTGTTAATCCTTCTCTGTATTTGACAGAGCCATGTTCTTGGTAGACGTCAGCTTATTAAGAATCGTTGGTTGTTGGCTTACATATCAATATTACTGATATCATTTGTGGATGTCTTTGTTAGCTTAAGCAYTGGATGTAAAGAGGTAAAAACGTTTACATCTGAAATTAATGTTTCTTAATATTTCACAATCATGTGAGCTCTCTTCTGGGAGTATCTCTTGATCTTAAATGACAACAATAATACAAAAACATGTTCCTTGAATCATTTTTTTAGATCAATTATATCTTATCAATTATAGGTAATAAGAATACGTCGTCTTCTACGGCCCTTTTTCTTGGTTCAGAACTCATCATTAACAAAGAAGTTGGTATGTGAATATAAATAGTTCATTCAATTCTAGTTTACTTGTGCCTACTGCCATGTCAACTACTTATTTAATATATTTCAGCTCAGAGCAATAAGAAGAACTCTCCCAGAAATAATGAGGTACATGTTATTAATGCTGATAGATATTGAAAAGATATTAATCAAATATWAATATATTTTTTTTCTTTAAGTGTTCTTTTCTTGCTGTTCCTTCACTTGTGTTTCTTCACCATGTTTGGGATGCTTCTGTTTCCGAGAAAGCCTGTAAGTGTAGCATTTTATGTTATTTATTGCTTCATTGCTGTCTAATAAATATTTAATATGTATTAACTRCAGCACTGTTAGTCATTTTGTAGATTACTTTTAAACATTTTATGATTAATTTGACTTTTATAACATTTTTCAGTGGTCTGATGTTACCAAGAATGTAACACAGAATATTGTAAGTGTATTAATTAATATTATCTCCTATTGTTCCTTGTGCTATCTTGAAAGGTGATCTATGCCTTTAAAATTTGCATTGAAGGGAGATGACCCTTGGACATGTAATGATGGATTTACCTGTKAATAATTGTCTGTATCAAACCTTTACCATCTGACAATTTGAGGAAATATAAAATAAACGTTAATCCGAATAAGTGCATTATTCTTGATAAGAATGAGATGCAGAAATGGAGGGCGATATTTCAATCTTTATTCAAATAACATCATCAGGCTACTAAATAGACGCCGGAGTTCGCCGGTTGCCGGCTTTTATTGAAACCCCTGCTACTGAATTTTGTTATAACAGAACATATATTTGCAATTCAAAATAGAGCAAGGTCTCGCCGTGAGACCTTGAGACCCAAGTTTAATGATGGATTCTTGTTGTTTATAAATAATTCTTCTTTATGCATGGTGCAGGAACCATTAAGGAGACTGTTATAATGGCCAGCATTCTGTAATATGGTCCATGGCTATAAGTATCCCTTGATCTATCTGATCCAAACCATTGCTTATGATTATTAATCTGTGCATAGGAGCAACTTTGCAGCCATAACTCATCTTCAGACAGTGGGGCTATTTGTGAGGGATCAAAATTTTTCACAGATTTGGTGGTCTCGATGAGAAGTTTATTTGTTCTTTTAACAACAGCAAATAACCCAGATGGTAAGAGAAAAATGATGACAAATATTATATGTTATGCTGTCTGGTCTTTACTAGCATCACAAGCATAAACACAAGCAATATAATGTAACTAAGAGAGACATCTAATCTTTAAGTTGATATATGTAAATACTGTTCAAAAGGCAAAACGCTATGCAAACATGCATAGTAACTTTTTTTTCTTGTTCATGTTTTGCATTTCTGGTTAAAATGAGGCTTTATGCATGTACATGCAGTCTGCACAAGTTAGAAAAATTTTGAAACCAGTTTATTTGTGAATTTATAGACGAGGTGTTTTTTTGTAATTTCAGTAATGATGCCAGCCTACATGAAAAACAGATTCTATTTCATTTACTTTTTTCTGTTCACACTTATTGGTGAGTGGCAGTAGTTAGACGTTGGTTATAGTTCAAATAATTTCCACATTGTCGATAATGATTTTTCTGTTGCTTCAGGTCTTTACTGCTTTCTGAACTTATTGACAGCTGTCATTTATAATCAGTTTAGAGGTTATTTGATGGTAAGCGAGTYTTWTCTTCATCTTTTTTTGTGTACAGGCCTGAATCCATCCRTTTGTCCATCTGTTCACAATCCATCCTTTTATTCCTTCATCTATTTTTATATTCATTTTATCCATTTACATGTATGATATTGATTTATACACCCATGAATCTACTATAATTATTAGATTTTTATAGGCAACTGTATTTTTGTTTGGTGATATTTGAAATATACAGTAGCATGTTCTGTTTTCAGAAATCACTTGAGTCCAGTCTGTTTCGTAAGAGGCTTGGTGTCAGAGCAGCATTTGAAGTTCTCTGTACCCTCAATGGTACTGCAGAGGATGATAGCCATAGGTTAGCCATGCTATCACCATATTTTGTCTGTTTTATAGTGTAAAACTTTTGTTGTTGATTTTGTTTGTCATGGTTAAAAATAAAGTCAGTGTTGATTTATGGCTCTCAAATTGTTATTTTCAGACATAAATTTCTTTGTAAGTCATTTTAGTTTAAGTTTTTTGTCACAGTACTGGGTTCTTTGCAATAGACTTTCATGAAATCAGACCAAACATTTCTTCTTTCTTCCCCAATCTCAGACTTATTTTCTTGTTACCTGCAGTGATTTGGTCCCAAAAGATACAGTCAAGGCTGTCATAGAGAAAGCATACTTAACCAATCGGAAAAAGCAGATTTTAAATGATGTAAGTCCCTACTTATCAAAATAATCATTTATTTCAGCAATGACTTCTAATATAATTATAAAGTGAAATGCAACTCAGTCGTCCTCTTCACACAAAACTGCATAAATTAATGTAATTTGTTTGTTTAACGTTAATTTTACATATCGATCATTATTCCATGAAGGCTGTAAGAGAGAATCACGGTGGTACCTACAATTCCCAACAATTCCAGGATCTGTTTGATGTGTTAGACTGTCTAGGCAAAACCAAGCATCGACCGCCAATGAGTTTTGTTGGTAACATTGTGATGAGAAAGGTCCAGTTAATAGTTTCCAGTCATTTGTTTGACTACTTTGGGGACTTTATAGCRGGAGTTAATGTCATATTCGTATCGGTAAGAATTATTTAAATTATATTATTAGTTAGTTAAGGATAGTGAAGCATATTTTATGTAAGTGTGCAAAAACTATGTTTTTTTGCCAAAACTGTTGTCAATTTAATATTTTCTATGTATATGTGATTATCCCACAAGATTCCAAAGTAGTGGCATGTGTTAAGTTATGAAAATAATCTTCTCTGACAGTTATGTGCTGCATTTTGATAGAGTTACCATGTATAAAACAAATATTGTGATGTATTTTGTAGATTATGCTCCATGCTCAATATGACAGTTCCGTCAAATCAAGTCATTCTGCACTTGCAGTGAGTAGTTGCGATTGCAAACTGGAAAACTTTTTCAATTATGTATTACCTTGTTTTGATAATTTATTTACTGATTCTGTTGTGTCTTTATTTCATCTTATTTTGAAAAAAAGTCTAATTTTGTTTATTGATTTTCTAGGTAGCAAATTTCTTTTTTGTGTTATACTATCTCTTTGAACAGGTGAAATATGATGCAGCTTATTGATATTGATTGATTGAATATAATTTATTATAGATCTATTATTTTGAAATGTTTGGTGTGTGTTTTATTTGATTTTTTTTTTTTCAGGCCATGAAATTATGGTCCCTTGGGTGGCAGCGCTATATATCTTTRAAGGTATTGGAATCACTACTGCAGCACCGGATTACTTTTATTGAATTAGCCTTATCTTGTTTTTTTTGCTAATGTTATTTTCCTGACAGGGAAATAAGTATTGTGGAGTTGTAACACTGCTCTTAGTGGTATGTGATGAATTCTGGTTTGTGTTTTCTGGTTTATTAACTCTCGATCCTGAGAATCAATTTCTAATAAATTAATAAATGCAAATGTCTTTAATTTTCTTGATTAGCCATAATTTGGTAGTTTGCTTATAAATACTCTGACTGGTTTCTACTTTGCGACAGGTACTGGAACTAATTTTTTTAGGTCTGCATGGCTCACCCTTTAGCTCCACAACCACGTAAGTTCAACCTGGCAGCCCAAGAGTATTTTTTGTCCTTACCTTAATGCAGTATTTACTGGTTTATTTTTACTCAGGAGTCCTGATGACAACGATTCGTTAGACTATCTACTTTCTGTGGCCAACTTAACACGAATTATCAACATGTTAATCATCTTTAGACTTCTCAGGATTGTGCCGAATATAAGGGTTAGTAATTATAAT